CATTTAAAAACAAAAAACTTTTTTCACTGTTATAGATTGAATAGCAGTCAGTGTCCTTAAAGCGGGTGTGTTACGCTAACAGTGTATACGGTGCCCAGTGCCACTGTAACGGATCGCCTGGCACCTCGACTGGGTACCTCCGTTGAAGGATGCTCCTAGCGCTTCCTGAGGACTCCAAGCACTCTGGCAGACACCACAATCACCGAACCGGAGAAACAAATAAATTCTCCCAAGCATATGAATGCTGCAGACAGTTGAATAGGAACCATACGAATAGGTTTACTCTCCTAGCAGTCAAACTGAAACAGCATACAATAAATCCTTCCCCCAATAATGAGACGACACTTCACTTTGAGGGTTAAACAGGAACTCCCTGTACTGTCACATACAGTCTCTTTTATTCCCAATCCACAAACATAGTACAGCCCACAGGGCGTTACAAAACAACCAATCACATCACAGTTACATCCCACATATTCCCTCTCCTTATCCTGAGAGGAAACTCAATTATACAAACAGTTAAAACATACTTTCTACCCAACTTTCATAACTCCAAAACCATACATCACATTCACATAAAATTACATATTCTCAATCAATCCATTCAGGGGAACAACATATTCAAAAATGGCACAAATCAGACAAGGGGTTCAAAGTTAGTAAAAAGTCCTTTGTGACTAAATGAAGCATGGCTTTCTGGCCCAAACCAGTTTCAGAGTCTTCTATCCTGGAGATAAGTAATTCAATTATCTCCCAGGATAGACACAAGACTCCATTAAGCACATGGTTGCAAAAAGACACAAAACACTTTAAAATACATAAAGTCACATTTACACATAACACACAGACATTTCACATATCCCCAGATAGCTGGGATCTGAGTGCACATTATTAGATGAATGGCACTCAGATCACACAAATAAGCCTTTCTGCAGGGGAAATAAACGGTTTAACCTGCAGGGCCATAGTCCAAAGGGAGCAGGCGAGCAACCAGGCTTCTCCAGTTCACAGTGGCGAGGTTGGTTTCGCCACACTTCTCCCCTTTACCAACTAGACTAACAGGGTATCTGACCTCCTGCCGGTCAGTGCCCTGGTTAGTCCAGCAACCCACCCACAAAACAGAAACAGCAGTACAGCCCACCCACAATAACTGGTTACTACACCTGGGTAGAGGAGAACTTTGTCCATGTCCAGGTGCCTCACCACGACTTTGTGGGCAACTGTTAGGCTGCCTTGGTGGGTTGCTGAGTGGGCAGAGACCAGCGGTACTCTGCCCTGATGCCAGTGCTACCACGGAAGTAGCCTGGTGGGAGCCTGGTTGTGGGAGGGAGAGACCGACTGTCTCCCCTCTGGATACACCGCTCTGTGGCTGGGGAACAGGACCGACTGTCCCTACCCCTTGTGCTGTAAGTGCAGAGACTACAGTCCCATCTGCACTGTTGGGGGTGTAACATCTCCCCTTGCTGGGTTAGGCTGCCGCTGGAGAGAGGGTGTAACAAGCTCCTCTCTCTGAACTGTAAACTGCCGCTGGGGAGAGGGGGTATCAGGCTCCTCTCCCTGACACTCTCTCTGCTGGTGGAGAGGGGGACCAGCTGTCTCCCCTTTCATTATTTTGTCCTGTGGTTGGGGTGCGAGACTGACGGTCTCTGCTCCCTGCAGGACACTCTGCCGCTGGGGAGGAAGGACGGCACCTTCAGCTCCCTGGGGTACACACTGCCGGTGGGGAGGAAGGACTGCACCTTCAGCTCCCTGGGATACACACTGCCGCTGGGGAGGAAGGACGGCACCTTCAGCTCCCTGGGGTACACACTGCTGCTGGGGAGGAAGGACGGCACCTTCAGCTCCCTGGGGTACACACTGCCGCTGGGGAGGAAGGACGGCACCTTCAGCTCCCTGGGTTACACACTGCCGCTGGGGAGGAAGTACTGTACCTTCAGCTCCCTGGGACACACACTGCCGCTGGGGAGGAAGGACTGCACCTTCAGCTCCCTGGGACACACACTGCCGCTGGGGAGGAAGGACTGCACCTTCAGCTCCCTGGGATACACACTGCCGCTGGGGAGGAAGGACTGCACCTTCAGCTCCCTGGGATACACACTGCAGCTGGGGAGGAAGGACTGCACCTTCAGCTCCCTGGGATACACACTGCCGCTGGGGAGGAAGGACTGCACCTTCAGCTCCCTGGGATACACACTGCCACTGGGGAGGAAGGACGGCACCTTCAGCTCCCTGGGACACACACTGCTGCTGGGGAGGAAGGATGACACCTTCAGCTCCCTGGGACTCCTTTTTGGCCAAATCTACTAGAGATTGCAGGTATTCTCCTACTAGTTTCCTGGCGAGCTGCACGGCTCTCTCTGGGGGTTGGGTCCAAAGGTAGACAGCACCTCATTAACCTCTCTGTCAAACTCCTCCTGAGTGTAGTCATACGCCATGCTTGCTCTGCTGAAGTTAGTTCTTTTGTAGATAGGGTCGCTGTACGGGTACTAGGGTTGCCCTCAATTTGTAAATCCACGAACTGTGTCTCCGAGCTGCTTTACCTCGCACTAGGACGCCATCCCACCGCTGCCACCAATGTAACGGATCGCCTGGCACCCCGACTGGGTACCTCCGTTGAAAGATGCTCCTAGCGCTTCCTGAGGACTCCAAGCACTGCAGCAGACACCACAATCACCAAACCAGAGAAGCGTATACCTTCTCTCAAGCATATGAATGCTGTAGACAGTTGAATAGGAACCATGCGAATAGGTTTACTCTCCTAGCAGTCAAACTGGAACAGCATACAATAAATCCTTCCCCCAATAATGAGGCGACACTTCACTTTGAGGGTTAAAACAGGAACTCCTGTACTGTCACATACAGTCTCTTTTATTCCCAATCCACAAACATAGTACAGCCCACAGGGCGTTACAAAACAACCAATCACATCAGTTACATCCCACATATTCCCTCCCCTTATCCTGAGAGGAAACTCAATTATACATACAGTTAAAACATACTTTCTACCCAACTTTCATAACTCCAAAACCATACATCACATTCACATACAATTACATATTCACAATCAATCCATTCAGGGGAACAACATATTCAAAAATGGCATGAATCAGACCAGGGGTTCAAAAGTTAGTAAAAAGTCCTTTGTGACTAAATGAAGCATGGCTTTCTGGCCCAAACCAGTTTCAGAGTCTTCTATCCTGGAGATAAGTAATTCAATTATCTCCCAAGATAGACACAAGACTCCATTAAGCACATGGTTGCAAAAAGACACAAAACACTTTAAAATACATAAAGTCACATTTACACATAACACACAGACATTTCACATATCCCCAGATAGCTGGGATCTGAGTGCACATTATTAGATGAATGGCACTCAGATCACACAAATAAGCCTTTCTGCAGGGGAAATAAACGGTTTAACCTGCAGGGCCATAGTCCAAAGGGAGCAGGCGAGCAACCAGGCTTCTCCAGTTCACAGTGGCGAGGTTGGTTTCGCCACAGGCCTCCATTTCCGATATGATGTTGGGGATAGTTGTGAGTGGGCTCGATATGCTAAAGAGGAGGTCGTCTGCAAAGGCTGTGATTTTGTAATTCTGTCCTCCAATTTGGAGTCCTTGTATGAGTGCATTGTCTCTAATACCCTGGAGAAAAGGTTCTAAGACCAGAATAAATAGTAGGGGCGACAGAGGACAACCCTGCCTCGTGCCATTTGAGATGGTGACCGGGGCGGATAGTTGTCCATTTATTCTGAGTTTCGCTGACGGTTTTGAGTATATCGCCTCCAACCACTCCAACCACCTAGTACCAAATTTTAAGAAGCGCATTGTAAGTTTTAGGAGTGACCAATTGACCCTATCAAATGCCTTTTCAGCATCAATCGCCAATAACGCGCTATGGGTCTTGTGTGTATGGGCCCACTGAATTAGATTAATGACCTTGGTAGTGTTATTCTTGGCTTCCCTACCTATGACAAATCCTGCTTGGTCTTGATGAATAAGGCCCGGCATGAAAGGCTTAAGTCTAGTGGCCATTATTTTGGTAAGGATCTTCAGATCGATGTTTATGAGAGAGATAGGTCTAAAGTTCCCACATATAGTAGCGTCTTTTCCAGGTTTCGGGATTAATGCAATAGTAGCTTCTAGGGCTGATGACGGAATGTGAGAGGAGATTTTACTGGCATTGTATGCGTCTATGAACGGTTGGGCTAGGATGTGTGATAGTTCTTTATAGTATTTCCCGGTGTATCCATCTGGGCCGGGGCTTTTCCCCAGGGGCAGTGATTTGACTGTGTTATGGAATTCTTCAAGTGTTATTGGGCTGTCAAGGAATGCTGATTCGTTAGGGGGAATAGTGTGTTTAACCCTTGTCTCTAAAAATTCTAAGATAGCTTCAGTCGAAGGTTTAGTGTTCGTCAGATTATATAACTGTGAGTAGAACTTATGGAAAGCCTCAAGTATGTCTGGCATGTGGCACGTTAGCGTTCCATCTTCTTTCTTGATTTCCGAAATGAAAGACGATTGTCTTTCCTGCTGTATAGACTTCGCCAGAAGTCTACCCGCTTTGCCCCCTTGCGTGTAGTATGTATTTTTTGTCAGGGATATTTTGCGCTTGGCGTGTAAGTGTAGAATGGCTGTCAGCTCTGTTCTCATATGCAAGATGCGTTTGTAATCTTCTAAGGATGGTTTGGCTTGGTGCTTACTTTCCATATCTTTAATGTCTTTAGTGAGTTGAGATATTGTCTGTTCCCTAGTCTTTTTCAAGGCAGCGGCTGCCTTAATTAGTTCTCCCCTAAGTACCGCCTTGTGAGCCTCCCAAGTCATGATAGGAGTTGTGTCTAGGTTGGTATTTTCTTTGAAATAGTTAGACGCTGTCTCCCTTAGTTTGGCCAGGGTTCCTCTATCGTTGAGTATCAAGTCGTTTAATTTCCACTGAGTAAATTGAGTGGGTAGGGTCGGAATGGAGAGAGTCAATGTCAGTGCTGCATGGTCCGACCAAGTGATCGGGCCATAGCATGCTGAGTGTATTAAGGGTAAAAACCTGTGTTGTATTAGAAACGTGTCTATGCGTGAATAAGTACCAGAGGCTGTGGAATAAAAGGAATAATCTTTTTTTGTGGGGTGAATAGCCCTCCAACTGTCATAGAGCCTGGCTTCGTACAATGTATTTTTGATAAGAGTTCGTGTTTGTGATTGGTAGTTTTGAGATGAAGAGGTGGTGTCTAGATGACCATCAAGAGCAGTGTTGAGATCGCCCCCCATGATGAGGATCCCTTCTTGGAAGGAGGATAGTTTTTGTAAAATCTTTTTAAGGAAGTGGTTCTGTTTCTTGTTTGGTAGATAGACATTAGCTAAGGTGATCTGGGTGTTCCCTATTTTTCCTTTCAGGAAGATGAATCTCCCTGAGTCATCTATTTGTTGTTCTTGGAATGTGAATTGAGTGTGTTGTCCTATGAGAATTGCTACGCCTCTAGCTTTAGCTTCGGTGTAGTGACTGAAGTATCCGTGTGGATAATCTTTATTTCGGAAGTTGGGAGGGGAGTTTTTACGAAAGTGAGTTTCCTGTATAAACACGATATGTGCTTTGTGTCTCTTGAAGTCTGTGAGGGCTATCGATCTTTTTTCGGGAGTATTTAAACCCTTAGCGTTTTGTGTATGAATGATTATGTCAGTCATATTGGGTGCCGTGGAGTCTGGAGCAGTGCAGTGATATATATAATTGGGGTCACCAGGTTACTTACAGAGAGTTTCGGGAGGTCTCTGTTTGTGGCACTAATATGGTAGATGAGAGTTAAGGTCGATGTATAAAAGGATGAATGAGGTCCGTGTGTCGCAGCAACTTGTGTTTGTGCAGGCTAGTTAGGACTGTCACACACCAAAAGCACCCTTGAGTCCCGTAAGTGTGAGAATTCTCTATTTGCGGTTGTTTCTGATATTCCTAAGCCTGTGTGTATCTCAAGCGTATAGTCAAGTGATTTGATCCCTAATATTGAGAACTTGGTCCCACGATACTCCAAACACCTCCTTTGTAAATAAACAACAAGTAACTGGAAACTTCAAAATACAAATAAACAATAAAACAGAATAGTTGCAATTTGTGAGAGTCAGTAAATCACAGTAAAGTCCCTTTTTTTTTTGTATATTATATAATCTTTCTCTTTTGCGCCTCCTGGGCTGAGATTTGTCTCTCAGCTTCAGAAACTTGCAGCTCAGCTGAGTGGTTTATGGTATAACTGAGTATCTCGCTAGATAAGGTCAAAGCAAAACCAGGTATCTGGTTATAGGTAAGGAAAGGGATAAGGGGAAAAGGGGAGAAAGGAAGGTAGGGGCAAGGAAAGAAGAGGAAGGAGGACGGGACCAATGAATGAAGAAGAGGGGTGAATGGGTGGTAGGAAGGGTAGGCAGGGGTCTTCCCCAATGGGAAATATGATTCTGTCTCGACGCAAGAGAGAGAACCAACAGATAGATGGGGTCGTGGACTTGCACATAAGTCTAGGACCCAAGAATTACAATCCTATCGTTTAGTATGTCTTATTGGAGAAATGCGTTTCAAAGATTTTACTTTCGTTTAAGGTTACGAAGCGTGGCAACATACATCCGTGAGTGGATTATTAAATGGTTAGTGACAGCAACGGTAGGGACAATTGTATGGAAGTGCTAATGCGGTGTAGCTCAGTTGGGTGTGAGAAAACTATATGTGTGTTTCGTAAAATTATTATTTTTTTGGGGGGGGTTTGTTTGGTAGGTTGTGTGAGGAGTGGGCGGACCTGATAGGCCAATGCTAATCTACTACAAAGTTAAGTGAGTCGTAATGGCGAGAGTTAGTATATCTTAGGAGCACCAGATCAGTTCTCCCGTTAGATGTAGTAATGCTCTATTATGTAGTCAGCCGCCTCCCTTGTATACTCCCCTTCTCTATTTACCAAACGTAGAAGAGGGAGAAGGGTGTAGTTGTCCGAGTCACAGTGTCACATTTGCCTTCTACAATACAATCACCGTCGATAGGGCAATGGTTACCACAGTAACAGTATAGTAACATATTATTAACCTTAACACAATAGGGACAGATCTGCAGGAAAAATACAAGCTTATACGACTAATGCTTAGAGGTATACAACCTGGCGCTTCTGTTAGTCTCAGACCCCGCCATGAGGTAAGTCCAACACAAGTCCATGTGGTAGGAGACCACTGGGGATAGTTCGCTGGGGAGAGATGTTGGGCTGAGACTTTTTTTTTTTTTTGGAGCATATCAATGTTGGCTGTTTCGTCCGGAAGGTAAGGATCCGTTCACATAAGCGTTTGCTAGTGTATTCGAGGTCATTGTTGACTTGTCGCTGCTGTGGTGATGATAGTGCAGATAAGTCCAGTGCCGGGGTCGCTTTGGGTTAGATCTGTACCGGATAATCTTGAGGGCGGATTTTGGACTGCGTACGTCTTGGAGTGTGAGTGAGAGGGGTATTTGTATTCCTACGGTTCGGTGAGATGGTTTTTAGCTGGAGTGGTCCATTTCTGCCGTTGTGGGGGATGCGGTGCGTCTTGGTTTGGCGGAGGAGAGTTCCAGTCCATGACTAGCGTGTCTGGCAGGTCCAGAGCTCTGAGGAAAGGTGGAACGTCCAGGATAGATGTGATAGTGTGCACAGATCCTTTGGAAGTCACGGTTAGCGCGAATGGGAATCCCCATCTATATCTTATGTTCCGGTTTCTCAGGAGCTCTTTTATTGGTTTGAGAGCTCTCCTCGCCTGGAGGGTGTACCATGAGAGATCTGGAAAAATTTGTATTGGATTGCCGTGGAAGAGCAATGGTTGTGTGGTGTCCCTTAGGGCTTTCACTACCTTTTCTTTTTCAGAGTAGTAATGAAGCCTGCAGATGATGTCTCTTGGGGCGTCTTGGGTCAGACCTCTGGGGCGAAGTGACCTGTGTGCTCTGTCCAAGAGGGTTAGATTTTCAGCAGGGCCTCCCAACAGTAGGTTGAATAGCTCTATAAGTAGTGCAAAGACGTCCTCTCCCTGGGTCTCAGGGATCCCCCTTACTCGCAGATTGTTCCTGCGGCCCCTATTATCGAGGTCGTCTATGTGGCGTTGTGTTGATGCCCAATTTTGAATGTGGGAGTCTAAAGTAGTTGAAATGTTGGTTATTTGAGCTTGTAGAACATCCCTTTCTTCTTCCAGGTCTGTAACCCGCAGGTTAAGCTGCTGGACATCCGAGCCCATCTCCGCCATTTTGGATTGGAAGGAAACTTCAAGCTTACCCAGCATGTGTTGAATATCATATTTTGAGGGTAAGTTCTTAATCAGTTGCCTGATGTCCAAGTCCTCGTGTTTGTCTGCAGACAGAGAGCTCTCTGAGTAGTAAGGGCTGGGAGGTTGAGATCCTGATTGAGATACCGCCCCCTCCATACTCGAGGCCGCGGCCTCCATCTCCCGGTCGGTATTGTCTTTAAAATAGCGGGTTAAGGATCCCGATTTCGCGCTTGGCGTCTTCCCCGATTGCCCCTGGGTGTGAGGGTGCTTCTTAGGGTTGCCCATAACCTCAGTTTTTCTCCGATTACCGTGGATTGTATGTGGTTTCGGAGGAGCAGAGTTAATGTGCGTCCATTAAGATCGGCGGTTGGCCACGCCCCCCCGTAAACCATTTTCGTGTGTTGTTCTAAGAGAGTTGCTGACTTCATTAGTTTTCTAGGGGTGACTGTTATGTCTTTCCATAGAGCTAGGGTGATCTCCCCTCCAAGATCTATTGTCCATTGATTCGCCGGTGTGGCATTAGCTAATGATGTGTAGTCCAAGAGTAGTTTGTAGCACATGGAGAGCGGTCTGGTAGACCTAGGTAAGTGTTTGTTAGAGCATATCTGTTCCCATGGGGTGAGCATTGATGCTTCTGTGGGGTGCTGGGTGAGGTTGTGGGGTTCATATTTGCACAAGAAAGATTAGAGTTGCCTATAAGAAAAGTGTGAGGTGAGTGGGATACCGTGTTCAGATTGTAATGTGGCGAAGTATGCTAGTTGTGTTCCTTTATAGAGATGTGCTAGGGTGTGGAGGCCGTGTTCGTGCCATGGTTTGGCGTGGAATGTTGGTATGCAGTATGTGAGCACCCATATAGGTGTGGCTTGTGAGATGATGGGGTGTGCGCATAGTTTGGCCGTTTGCAAGTCCCAGGTATGCAGTAGCAGTGACAGCTGTTCGGGTATGTTTGGGATTACTAATCTGAGAGGCCTGGGTAGCCATATGATATGCGTGATCTCGTATGGTTCTAGCAATTGTTTTTCAAGGGTCGCCCATTGGGGGGGATTGGTCTAGGAAATGCGGTAATGCGGATGCCAGTATTACCGCTTGATAGTAGGAGCGTACGTCTGGCACTGCCAGGCCCCCTTCTTTCAATGGGGCTTTTAGCAGCTTCAGCGCTACTCTGGGTTTCGCGCCTACCCACATGAACTTGGTTATGTCCCTTTGGATCTCTTTGAAGTAGTTTTGGGCTATTTGGAGTGGTAAAGTTCAAAATACATATTGTAGCCTTGGGAGTATTGACATCTTGAGTGCAACTATTCTCTCTGTCCACGTGAGGAAGAGAGAGCCCCAGGTCTTTAAAGTTGCCTTACATTCATTCCAGACTTTTATATAGTTTCTGGGTATGAGATCCGAGGGTTTTCTAGTGAAAATAATTCCCAGGTATTTTATGTAATCTTTTCTCCACTCAAATGGGTATGATCTGTTCAGGGTTTGTACCAGGGAGGAGGAGAGGCCTATCCCCATGGCTCGAGTTTTTGTTGTATTTAAGGAGTAATATGAAAGGTTGCCATAGTCTCTTATGGTCTGCATAAGGTGAGGGAGGGAGTCTGATGGTTCCGTGATATAGAGTAGGATATCATCGGCGAAAGCACTAATCTTATATCCTGTGCTCTTTTACAGTGATGCCATGGACGAGGGGATGTGCTCTAATGGTACAAAGGAGGGGTTCGAGGGCCAAAACATATAGTAGGGGTGATAACGGGCAGCCCTGTCTAGTCCCATTAGATATTGTAAAGGGGGTTGACATGAATCCTGATTGAAGGACCTGTGCTGACGGGGCAGAGTATAAGGCTTTGTGACCAGTTGGGGGAACCCGTAGGCCTGCAACGTGCTCTTCAAGAATGGCCAGCTGAGACGATCAAATACCTTCTCCGCGTCTAATGCCAGGAGCAATCCGCTACCTCTTTCCGCTACCTCTTTCCCTTTCCATAAGGAGTCTTAGTTTTCTGGTGTTATCTAGTCCCTGTCTGTCTTTTATA